TGTTAATACATACAAAACTTACCATCTATTCTACACTTAGAATCTGTTAAATACATACAAAACTAACCATCTATTCTACACTTACAATCTGTTAAATATATACAAAACTTACTATTTGTTCTACTCTTACAATCTGTTAAATATATACAAAACTTACCATCTATTCTACACTTACAATCTGTTAAATACATACAAAACTTACCATCTATTCTATACTTACAATCTGTTAAATATAGACAAAACGTATAATCTATTCTACACTTAGAATCTGTTAAATATATACAAAACTTATCATCTATTCTACACTTAGAATCTGTTAAATATATACAAAACTTATCATCTATTCTACACTTAGAATCTGTTAAATATATACAAAACTTATCATCTATTCTATACTTACAATCTGTTAAATATATACAAAAGTTACCATCTATAATATACTTACAATCTGTTAAATATATACAAAACTTATCATCTATTCTACACTTAGAATCTGTTAAATATATACAAAAACTTATCATCTATTCTACACTTAGAATCTGTTAAATATATACAAAACTTATCATCTATTCTATACTTACAATCTGTTAAATATATACAAAACTTATCATCTATTCTATACTTATAATCTGTTAAATATATACCAAACTTATCATCTATTCTATACTTACAATCTGTTAAATATATACAAAACGTATAATCTATTCTACACTTACAATATGTTAAATATATACAAAACGTATAATCTATTATACACTTACAATATGTTAAATATATACAAAACTTATCATCTATTCTATACTTACAATCTGTTAAATATATACAAAAGTTACCATCTATAATATACTTACAATCTGTTAAATATATACAAAACTTATCATCTATTCTACACTTAGAATCTGTTAAATATATACAAAACTTATCATCTATTCTACACTTAGAATCTGTTAAATATATACAAAACTTATCATCTATTCTATACTTATAATCTGTTAAATATATATCAAACTTATCATCTATTCTATACTTACAATCTGTTAAATATATACAAAACGTATAATCTATTCTACACCTACAATATGTTAAATATATACAAAACGTATAATCTATTCTACACTTACAATACGTTAAATATATACTTAATATCTAATCTACACTTACAATCTGTTAAATATATACAAAACTTACCATCTATTCTACAGTTATAATCTGTTAAATATATACAAAACTTATCATCTATTTTACACTTACAACCTGTTAAATATATACAAAACTTACCATCTATTCTATACCTACAATCTGTTAAATATATTCAAAACTTACCATCTATTCTACACTTACAATATGTTAAATATATACAAGAGTTACCATCTATTCTACACTTACAACCTGTTAAATATATACAAAAGTTACCATCTATTCTACACTTACAATCTGTTAAATTTATACAAAACTTAATATCTATTCTACACTTACAATCTGTTAAATATATACAAAACTTACCATCTATTCTACACTTACAATCTGTTAAATTTATACAAAACTTAATATCTTTTCTACACTTACAATATGTTAAATATATACAAAACTTATCATTAATATCTATTCTACACTTACAATATGTTAAATATATCAAAACCTT